TATTCCTACTACTCTTCACTATGAACATGTTGAACAGGAGCGAGAAGCTGTACGAACCGCATTTTCCAGCTTTAGTACGATCCCTGATGATCCCCCGCGCTTTTCTTCAAAGTCATTTTCCTTTCTCCGAAGTTAACGAAAAACCTTCAAAGTTGTGCAGATTATCTAAACCGACAGTGCTAAGCATGTTGCTGATAAGAACAAATGATGTTTTGAAGTCGTGAAATTTTCGATGATCCACAGGTCGAAATTTGAGGTTTACCGAGAAATTTGACTTTTCAAAAACTCATTTGTTCTCATCAGCAACATGCTTAGTACTGTTGTGTTAGATGTTCAGTACAACTTTGGAAGGAAACTTTTCGTTAACTTCGGAGAAAGAAAAATGACTCTAAAGGAAAGCGCCGGGGATCATCAGGGATCATACAAAAGCTGGAAAATGCGGTTCGTACAACTTATCGCTCCTGTTCAACATGTCCATAGTGAAGGGTAGTAGGAATAGTTACGGAATAGGAACACAATGTGAAATCCAGGTATCTGGAGTTTCGAAATATAAAGCTTTCTTTTAAGCTGCGATCCCCGCCCCAGCGGAGAGGTTAATGCATGCGGCCCTAAGTCAAAGAACGAATACATTTGGCTGTTTCGTCTATGCAGTGCTGCAATTCAGTGAAGAGTCTGCCTGTTTGTCTTTCGCCTGTTTTATGCTAGGTCGTTCCGAAAGTTCTGCCCGATTTCTAGTTGCCTTGTTTTAACGCAGCTAGTTTTCTGGAGTTTTGTACTTGCCGCAGATATATGAATATCATCTGAGAGCACTTTTCTTGCTTTTTCTAGTGCTCGCTAATGCTTGACAAAACATCTTCTCAGTGATGAAAATTCAACCCCCGAAACCAAACTGCCAAAATGCAGTCATGCTCAAGAAAAAGTTTTTATGGGCAGAATTCCCGCAGTATTCGTAAAATTAGATATGTAATATTTTATAATGGGTCAGGGTGTAATGGGCTACATACGCACACTTCACCTCCGTCTTACTTTTTCAATTTTTTCTCAAAGGTGGAAGACAAATCAGTTGTTCAAAAAGTAACAACAGTCTACATATAGCGAACGGTGGTGCATTCGATAATGCTTATGATAGAGTGAAGCGATAGCAAGCAGGAACCATTGGCCAGTTAGCTTTCTTTGTTCGCTACCGCAAAAAAAAATCAAATATTAAAAAGTCGCCCTATTTGCGCGCGCGGAAGAGGGCTTAAATAATGAATTTTTTGATTTTGCTCGTAAAAATCTCTGTGCAGCAAAGATAGCTCGAATTGTCTTTATACATGGAAGAATCCCTAAAGTATGGGCTACTTAGTGGCAGTTAAATGTGTCCGTGTGTCCTTATATGGAAGCATTAGTACGCCCAAGTGGATGGTTTGAAGAAAACTCTGCAAAATTCTCCGAATTTTCTATTCTCTCTCGCTTGCTTTCTTTACACTGCATACTGTGCTTATGTTAAATTTAACCTCGCTCATTCCAACAAAATTTGAATTGTCCAAAAATGTTGATTCTGAAGAGAGTTATAAAATTTTTGACCAGAAAATTTGCAAATCGGACGGGACTTTCGGAACAACCTAATATATCCAATTTGTCATTTTTGGTGCGCAAGGGCATAGCTGATCAAAGGTACAACCATACCCGAACGTTGAACAACAGTCCTTGACCACAAATGTCTTTTTATGCGAAAATGCAGGAAATCACTTCACAAGACTGAAACGGTCCCTCGCATAGTCAACAATCACCATTACCAAAATGGGCAGACTCGATCATGGACAAGATTTTCAAAAAACGGAAGATAAAATATGAGCATGGTTTTCATGCGCGCTTTCCAATGTGTGCAACGAGCTTGGTGAGAGACAGAAGAATGGGAAGCTACGTTTTGAACCTCATATCTGCACAACGTATCTGAACGGGTGGAGGAATAATGAGATTCCAATGCTAGACGATAGTTTCCAAATTGGCTCCCTCGAAAACAGCGCGGCAAAAGTACCAGATCACATGTCAGCCATCCTGGACACTACGGTTGTTCGAATCGCCCCACACCCATTTGCGAGCCCTTGATGTATCTGACCCTGACCCCGTGAATCCAAACCCACAGAAGGTTGATGCGGGGCCAATACTCTTACAGCAATGCATTTGTCTTAACGGTTCATATCTGGTTCTTGGAGCAAGGGGCAAGAGGCGAAACAGGACTATTTCCTAACAGAACTCTCATAATATACGCCTCCAAACCGGACCCCAGGATCGTATCATCATACGACTTGTACCGTTGCTTTCGCGCGAGGACCCACGCGAAACTGATGTGTGCTATGAATCCGTGCGAAATAAGATCCTAGGGTCCAGTCTGGAGGCGAATATCTCAGTCGTGAGAACACCATCTGAACCGGTTGGGCAGTATCACAAGGGAATGATCCCAACTCAAGGTTGCGAACTGGAATGAACCGTACATCATGAGAGGCGTCTTGATGAGCTGATTCCAAATCTGCCTTTCATATCTGCGGAGCTGTCGCGGATTGGGGTCCCCCGCTCTAGACGTCAGTGGTAACCTGCTCTCCTGCATCGGCGACAAGAGCGGAGGACTCCATCCGTGAAATAGAACAAAGACACTTGGTGGAAGATAGCTATGCGTTTCGCAAGATAGCTAATATGGCCTGCCACAAGCACAACGCACAACGAGTTAGAGGCCCTAGGCTACCAACCAACCCCCTAAAGCCTACTCCCAGCCATCTCAAGCCGTTCACACCTGGACAATTGCGGATCACTTGCAACTAGGGCACTAGTGCACATCATGCCCTGCCTTCCAAACGATGGATCACTCCAAGACAAGTATACAAGGAACACAAACAGCATACAGATATAATGTGCCAAGGTCTGAGCCTTTGGCTACCACAAGAGTCAAAACGCTACAGTTCTATGTGCTCAACATTTATCCCTAATTGAACCAAACACACAAGCAACACAGTACAATGGGCAGAGTACACACCGGCCAAGATCTCACCTAGGGGTCGGCAAAAAGAAACCCCTCGCGAAGTGGCTCCTCAGCCCTGCGGCAAGAAAAGAGCACACAGCCGGGTTACCTCGGTGCAGGTGCCAGTCCTCCAAGCGTGCAGGTGTTGAACATCGCTGGACCGAAAGAGTGCGCTGCTAGATCGATCAATAGACCGTTGAGGTAGTCGACCGCTCGCTGCTGGACAAGTGTGGGAGAATGCGTGACTTATGCGAAGTTAGACGTGGGGACGAGAGGCGGGGCAGCGCGAGGACTGGCGTTTTAGAACCCGTCGCTTTGCGGTGGCAAACTCCCTATAAGGAAGTCGCGCAATCCGCGACAGGAGCCATTCTATGCAAAAAGTTATAAGCGTTTGAAAATTGTGAAGTCACTGGGGTTTCAATGCTTAATGTCCTTCAAAATCCAACTTTAGAGTTTATGACTAGCATGATATTGAGTGTACTGATTTTAAGGAATGCTCACATTCAAAAGAAACACAAGTAAGTGTTTTTGAACAACTAATTCTCGAGGTATGGCGCTGTTTTATTACCAAATTTGTACTTTTCATTGCTCATAGCTTTTACTAACGAACTTTAGTTGCTTTTTAATTGTTCAAAAACACTTACTTGTGTTTCTTTTGAATGTGAGTATTCTTTGAAATAAGACTCAGTATCATGCTAGTCATACACTCCCAACCTGGATTTTGAAGCACATTATGCATTGGAACCTCAGTGACTCCACATTTTCAAACGCTTATAACTTTTTGCAGAGAACGGCTCTGCAGATACAAAGGTGGATTTGGAATCAGCTCATCAAGACGCATCTAATGATATGCGTCTCATACCAATTCATCACCTAAAGATGGGATCGTTCCCTTGTTATTAGGGCACGATTAGTGTCGAGGTGAGATCTCTGTATGTCCAGATTTGCCTGGACGGTGCCTTTACTTAACTTCAAAACATTTACGTTGCTACTGTTGAACCTTCTCCTCTACAAAGCAGGAATTTCGTTCAAAATGTTTCTCCTAGGGAAAGATATAGCCGGTTTTTACCTAAGCAAGTGGAACATACGGCGAAAATATTGGGTTGCAGTAACAAGCTAAGTCTGCGTTATTACGTGAAGCGCGAGGGAAGGGGGCAAGAGTGAATATATTCAATATAGCCTAAAACTCGTAACTTTCACAAAAGTGATTTGAGCCCGATTGATCTTCTCTAGTCTGAGATACAAAAAGCGAAAAACGGAACAAGATTGTGACTTGCTCTTAGGCCCGTACTCAGACAATCGCCGGGGGCAGGCGGGCACCGGAAAAATAGATTGCTGATCTCTCGCACCCCGCTCGCGGATTTTTTGGAAAGCAACCAGTGTAGAAAGTAGAGCAACACCAGTTTGGTCCCTTTCCCCCTTGCGGACAAGCACACCAGGAGCAAGAATAGAGTTTATCAAAAAAAGACAAAAGACAGAGTCAGAGCAAGTCTGCCTTGTTGGCAGTCCTAGCGGAAAGGCAGACAAAATAAAAGATGAACAGAAATAGAAAAAAAACGATAAGTCGTTGCGGCTGCTGCCGCTCCTCGTCGTAGCAAAAATCAACAACAACAAGAACGAACAAAACAATCGACAAGCGCTATGGCGCGCGTAGGTCAAACTATTAGATCAAAGCGGTCCTTCTTCCTTACACGCCCCTCCTCGAGAAGTCACCTCCGGGGACTTGTCCGTGATACCGTCCGCGCTGCTTCATATGTGGGGCTTGCTCCATCCGCTTTGCTATGGGATCTCGCAAATACATGATTTCCGGCTTCCTCATCCGCTTCCTTTTCGCGTCGGGTTCTCCTTCAGTTCTTGACGGGTTGCTTGGCTCTCCCTTCTTCTTCTCCCGTAGCTGGAATGTCGGTAGGCGTAGCGTGTTCGAGGCTGCTTCTCGCAGCTGCTCCAGGAAGACCAAAATCTGCCATCCGTGCAACTTATCCTCCCCTTTCCGGGGGCTTACTCCCAAACATGTGGCCGGGTGGAGCTTCGGGACTGCATCTTCTAACGGTCCGTAGTGGTCTATTACCTTGGCATCAAACCCCCTGGCCGGGCCAGTCAACATTCGCACGACTTCCACGCAAACTTTCCGAAGTTCCTCCCACTCGTCCTTGCGCGCCTTCTCGAAAGGTGGAGGGAAACAGTCTAACGTTCCACCACATTGCAAATGCCTCTCGACGGCCTGCATGCTCCTTCTCATCTGGTCCGACCTCGGCATTTTCTCCGGCCAAACCCATAGCATCGCTGCGCTAATGGGGATTTTGTTCAATTGATCCGCCATGTCGTCAAGGTGGTTGTATACCACGAACTTCACTGAATCTTCCGCGACGACCTCCGTCCGCGCACGCTCGAAAGCCTTCGGCAAAGCTAGAATGATCGAATTCGTCGGCATGTCGTCTCCATCCAAGTGGCTGAGTTGTTCCTTTCTCGCCAATGCTTGGTTGTAATATGCGGACAAATCGTAATCCGTCTTTTGCGTGAAAATGTCCGGATGATGGAGTCGCTGGCCTTCCTTCTCGCGCAGGGCCATTGCGAAATCGTGGCAGAACGACCGGTGGGCTGAGATTGCACAGCTTAGTCCGATCACCGACAAATGCGTCGATTGCTTCTTCAACAACTCGTTTTCTTTCCTCCAGTCTCCCCAAGTGGGTTCCAGCGCTATCGACGCGACGTTTGCGAGTTCAAACAAGTTTTTCACTTTCTTCGACCTGGCCAATTGGCATCGCAGACCCGGTAGTGCCACGTGTGCGCGTTCTCCGAATATCCCACAGTTGCAGGGATGCAGCAGATGCAGTGGATCCGTTCTCGGGTCTCCGACTTCGACTCTGAAACATAACACTTTAGAACTCGAGACTTTTCTCGGTCTACCTCTTTTTGCTTTGGTTATCGTTACTTTGCCAGGCTCATTTTCGGGACCCCGGGACACCTTCTTAGGTCTACCCCTTTTTGCCCTTCCCCTGTGGGTTTTCACAGGCTCATTGTCAACCCCTCGGGGCACTTTTCTAAGCTGATCGAAAGGTACGCGCTTAGGCTCGTCGTTCGCATTTATCAACGTAATTAAAGCGCTGTTGTCACTGAGTTCAATCACTCTAAAGGGGCCTGACCAATCGTTAGCTAGTTTAGGATGGTTAGATGAAGCCTTTTCCATAGGTATCTTCATATACACCCGGTCGCCTAAAGTCAACGGCCTCTCGTTGACCTTGTGGTTTTTATCGTAGTTGAGCTTCATCATTTTCCGCGCCTTTTCGTTTTGTGCGCGAGTAAATTCATGAGTCATGCGCATCCCTACCACAAGCTCATTTACGTAACTATCCAGGTCCACCATATAAGTTGTGATCCCATTATCAGCGCTGTTTCGGGGTACATAAGGATCGAATCCATGGAGTAGAAAGAATGGTGATTCACCAGTGGACTCGTGTATAGCAGTGTTATATGCTAACACACAGTATGGAAGCATCTTGTCCCACTCCACCGGAATCTCTACCTTCTTTCTCAGCAACTGTACGATGGTTTTGTTGAATCGCTCCGTCAACCCATTCTCTCTGGGATTGTAACCTTTAGTGTATGTTTGGTTTATCCCTAAGGTCTTGGACAACTCATTCAGCATCTTGTTGTCAAACTCCCCTCCTTGATCAGACAGGATACATTTAGGGAATCGGCAACCTTCTGCTATCCATCTTTCAAACAGTACTCTAGTAACTTCTTCCGCTGACTTGGACGCTACAGCATAAGCTCCTCCATACTTTGTAAAGTGGTCTATGACGCTCAAAATGTAGCGGTTTCCACTGGTGGTTAGTCCCATTTCCAGTATGTCGATGCCAATGATCTCGTATGGTTTGGAAACAGCGATGGGTTTCAAAGGTGGCGTCATTTTGGGTTTGTGGTTGTATAGAGTGCACATTTTACACTCTTCCGCCCATTCAAGTATGTCCTTATGCATACTATCCCAGAAGAACTTTTTGGACAACTCTCTCATCAGTTTACGGGGACCAAAATGTCCTGCCAGCAGCGATGAATGAGCCTCCAAAAACACTTCTTTGCGGCGTTCCTTTGGAACTATTCTTCTATAACCATCCTTCTCCACGAGGCACAAGTAGCCCTGTGATAGTGTGAAATCTGAGACAGTATAGTTCCTCAGAATTTTCCTCGAGGGTGGTTCCTTCCCTTGCTCCAATGCTTGTATGATACCCCCGTAGAGTGGGTCTCGCCTGAGCTCCACTGTCCACTCAGGTTCTTCGGTGACTGTTGCTACAATGAGCCCGTTTGCCAGACTCTCATCTTGGTCTCCGTCCTGGGCCTGCACAGCTCCTCGACTCAAAGCATCCGCGACCCTGTTCGCCGCTCCTTTTAAGTAAACCATCTTGAGGTTATACTTTTGTAACTCGAGCGCCCATCGTAGTACCCTTGCTGAGACATTAGCCCTAGTAAACAAGGATGTCAGTGGTTGGTGATCTGTACATACTTCTACACTTAGTCCGTATACGAACATGTGAAATCGCCTTAGGGCAAAGACTACGGCGAGGGCTTCCAGATCCGTAATATGATAATTACGTTCGTTTTTAGTGAGCCCTTTTGATGCAAAATAAATAGGGTGGAGCAGACCATCATCACCCTTCTGGCTAAGAACTGCTCCTAATCCCGAATAGCTGGCGTCAGTATGGATTTGAAATGGTTTCTCGCCACTTCGCGCCCCTTCGACGTCTGGCTGGGTTAACACCGGAGCCGATGTTATCACCTTTTTCAACAGTTCGAAAGCCTGCAATCGTTCTGGTGTCCATTCAAATGGCTGTTTTTCGGAGGTTAGCTCATGCAAAGGCGCAGCAACTTTCGCAAAGCCAAGGACAAATTTCCTATAGTATGAGCACATACCAATAAACGTTCTTAGCTCGCTACGACTTTGAGGTAACGGATACTCCACGATTGCAGAGACCTTTTTCGGGTCCATGTGTATTCCTTCTGCATCCACAAGATGACCTAGGAATTCGACTGTGCGCTCTAACAAGGTGCACTTCCTTGGATTGAGCTTCAAGTTTGCCTTTCGAAAAGCTTGAAAAATTTGTTCCAATCTTTCTATGTGACGCTCTACTGTCGCTGTTGCTACCACTACGTCATCCAAATAGCAAGCTACTTCGTCACCTAGAAGATGACCGAGGACTGCATTCATTAACCGTTGGAAAACTGGAGGGGATGATGCCAATCCAAATGGCAGAACGTTAAACTCGTACAGTCCTTCCGTCGTAACGAATGCACTCTTTTCGCGTGCATTACTCGTCAGTTTTATTTGCCAATATCCCGAGGCAAGATCCAAGGTTGAAAAATACTTCTTTCCCTTGAGGTTTTGGAGAATTGTATCAATCCGCGGCAAGGGATAGCTATCCACTTTTGTGACTTGATTCAATTTTCGATAATCCACGCATAACCTCAATGTGCCGTCCTTTTTCTGTACCAGTACTATGGGAGCGGCCCAACTTGAATGACTGGGTTGAATGATGTTTCTTTCCTGAAGATCGGTGAGGATTTGCCTCAGCGCTATCCTAGTTCCCAATGGAATTGGTCTTGGCTTTTGACGTATCGGCTGTGCCGAGCCTGTGTCAATATCATGCTCTACAAGCGAGGTCTGTGTGAGTTCTTGGTCTGTGATAGCAAACACATCGCTATTCTTTTCCACTAGGTTTTCCCAAGCCTTGTCCTCACCTTGTTCAGTTTTCTTTTCCCTTAGCATTTGCAGAAGACGAGCTTTCCTCTCAGGTGGAGGTGTTGTCGTCCGCTCTAGCATATTAGCATAGTGAAGTGGGGCTTCTTCCGACAATTCGGCTTTTCCCCACTCACCAACTATCTCGCCGACCCGGTATATCCTTGGTTCTGTCGATGAATTGGTGATGGGGATCTTCACTGCCCCATTCGCGGTGTCGCATACTGCATTAGGAACTAAGCTATCGCTAGACCACAATACTTGTGGTTGTTCGGTCGAGGTGCTTGTCAGTTCCAGTCCTTTGGTTTCGCCAGGCCTGATGTAAACACGTGCGGCTACTTTGGCATGCTGCATTTCCTTAGCCTTATTGTATTTTCTGGAATGCTTTTTACGCCATCCTCCGACCCTTTGTTGGTTTGTTCGCTTTTCCGGACACCTGCAGGGCCTCCCTTCCCTGCAGACTGAGAAGCCGAGTGCCTGCAGGATGTTTGTACCTAGCACTATCCTGTCATCACCTCCTTTCATAACGAAGAAGGCAGCTCGGCATCGAGGTCCATCGTCTATTTCTAGGGTAAGACGAATAGCACCTTTAAAGGTCATCAAGTTGCCAGAAGCGTCATAGACTGGTGGGTATTCCTTCTGCGGAATCTGTTCCACGTCTCCGTCTATATCGAAACCCTTTTCCTGGGCTGTCAACAGCAGCTCCAGAGGCATGATGCTAATCTGGGATCCAGAATCCATTAGTGCTTCCCTTTGCAGTCCAAGAAACTTCACCGTTTCTAGTGTTTGACTGCCTACCAGGTCGCTAGCGTTCTTCTTTGCTACTGTCGTACATGCCCAGTGCCGCAGTACAGCAGAAAAAGACCCTGCTCCGCGTACACTGGCGGTGCTTTTGCCCTTGGCTCGTTCTGGCACTGGCACTTCCTTGGGCCTTCCGGCCGCGTATTGAGCCCTTGGGATCTCCTTGCAGTCCCTTCTGAAATGTCCAGGCTTCTTACAGTTGTGGCACACCAACTCCCGCTTCTTTGGTCCTTTGTGCTGCATGTTCTGGTCGGGGTTTTCCGGTCCTGCGTGTTCTTGACACTCCTTTTCAGCTTTCGTTTGATTCATGTGCTCGCGCCGCTGTGTCATTTGTTGTCTTCGCTGGAACCGTTCAGGCTTGTTTGTGGCCTCCTGCTTCAAATGCAGCGCTACTTCCCTACTCCTTTCTATCCGCTGTGCAAGGGCTTTGAGCTTCTCATAGGCTTCTTCTGCGGGAGTTTGTTCTACCTCTGTGAAGAGTTGAACATACTCCGGCCAGTCCGTGAGTTGTGCAATCAACTCTCCGGTGCGCAAAATGGAAAGCTCCCTTTCCGACGATTCGGGGTATGCTGCCCTGGTCAGCTGTTCCAGCCGAACACAATACTCCGAGATACTTCCGGAGTACAGAATGTTCTTGAGGCTGATGTATGCCTCCATTCTGTTGGCAGACTCATTTTCCTTGAATTTGGCCTTTGACGCGGCTACAAATCCTTGAAAAGTTCCTTCCCGAACCTCTAAGGGGAGAGTCTCTACCACAACCCGAGGTTGTCCCGCCAGTTTTGAGCATAACAAGTGGATGAGCATATCATCTCCCAAGCTCAGTCCCCCGTACTTAATCATAAAAGAGCGCAAAAATTTGTCGAACCCTTTGCCTTGCGCGCTATCAAATACTGGGACATCTGGCAGAGCCATTGCGGTAAATGCGGAGCACATTACATTTGTTAACCCCGTTTCCGAACTGAAGTTTTCATTCCTACCTTGGGAGTTCTGCCTCAACGTCGTGGAGGGGAATCCCGGCGGCCTTGGCGGCTCTCTCG